ATTAAGAGGAACAACGAAGGGGCAAGGCCTTGCCATGGCTCAAGCGGTTTGTCGCCTGCTTCACAACCCGGCGGCTCGGGTTCGAACCCGGGTCAGGTGATGTGGGATTTGTGGTAGACAAAGTGGCACTCGGGCAGGTCGAGTACTTCGTGTTCCCCTGCCATTCTTCATTCCACCGATTGCTCCACAGTCATCGTCGTCTGTCATCTGGGGCTGTTACAATAGGCCAATAAGGGACTGGACTCAGTCTCACTCCACAGAGAATAAGAATAAATAATAATAGCGCAAGGGTGGCCTCTAGCGGCGTAGAGTTGATACTAGCTTTCTTTCACGTCGGTCACCTGGTTCACAGGATCTCATAAGCTTACTTTCTGCCCTTAAGAAAGGAAATTGGTCTATAAAGTACATAAATATGGGGTCGCATTCACAAATCTGTGGGGCGCATATTATATTCGTTGCATCCGCCCATCTGTCTGTTTTACGGTTGAAACTGTTCGAGAATCTGTGAACGGATTTTCATGGAATTTGATATTGGCTGAGGAGCGTTACTAAATATGTCAACTCATTTCTACTTTGGTTAAAATCGGCTGATCCCCCAGTCCAAAGGATCCTAACAACTGCGTATAGGATTGCGAAACTGAAAAAGCGGCCAGGGCCCAACAAAGGGCTGTAGAGCCATTGATGATGATAATGACGACGACGATAGTATGTAATTACAGTATAATTTATGGCGCTGCCAAAGTTTTCTATTCTCGATAATAATATTTAAATGCGCAAGATAACAAATACTTCAATTTTTGCAGCAAAAGATAGCGGTTCATTTGATACGGGATAGTAGGTAGCTTTCTTATTGACTTCTGTGTGGTGTGTTCTCAATATTATGCACTAGAGGGCAGTGATTCTCAGGCATGAAGCATGTCACGTTTATAGATGGCAGGGAAGTCGGATGTGACGTCATACGATTCCAACTGGTAGTGTTTACTTACTCATCTGTGTAGATTGATCCTTGGCCGTAACAGGCTCATCTCGGTCTGAAAATCGCTCCATTTGCATGGGTCTCCACCGCCCCGCCCACACCACTTGTTTGTTCTCAGCAAGCAGATTTCAGAGAAGCTGGGATTAACTGCTCTTGGGTCCTTTGGGGTATATCTGAGGATCCTTTTACAGGCTTGCGGCAGAGGAAAAGAAATTGCATTACTTTATATACAGCGTTCTTCAAGACTTATGACGGCCCATTCTAAGCCTGGGTTCTTCATCATGCAAAGCACACCGAAATAAAGAAATTATTTGTAAATATAATATATTGCTGTTGAGCAGGAGAGATATGACTAAAATATTACGAATATGTAGGCGCGTAGATCGAACATCGGGGTCAGATGGGAAGTATTCCTACTTCGGATTCGAGAGACTCCGGGTTCAGATCTTGGCCTGGAGATTTTTCGAGTTTTCACTCGGTCGCTCCAGGTATAGTCCTGAATAGTACATCACAATAGGCCACGACCGCTTCCTTCCACGTTCTTTCAAATGTTTCATCCATTTATAGTCCTATATTATTAGGCTGTATTCTTAGCGACTGAAATCGTTGTCAGGTAACCCAAGAACAAAACAAGAACGTTTCCGGTTCCGCTGTTTTATAAATATAATACAAAATTACGTTATCTGTAGTAATATTTCATTCAAACGGACAGCCATTACAGCTCTTATATTTTCAGAATAATGTGTTCTGATAATTGCTTCCCCGCCCTCTGTTCCAAGTCAACTGACACAGTAACTTCACGAAAGAGATCGTAAAATGGACCCGGACAGTGGCGGTGGGAGAATGGCGAGGATGAATTATATACATTTACACAGTGTGCAGATCTGCGGTTCTGTCGGTTTAGCTTAGGTTTGGTCAGCCAAATTGCGTGGCCCTAGTGCAAATATATGTACACGCTCAGCTTCTTGACTTCTGAAGAGACCCTTCACCCAGCTGCAAGGGGCTGCTGTTGGTCGTGCTCTCTGATGCATTTTCTTTTCTAATTCAGGTAAATATCTGTACCATCCTCTCTTATGTCAGTTTTTATTGAAGTTTCCCGGAATAGTTGCAGTTATATAATAGACTGTTTTTTATGATTTATAAGAAACGACTGCTTCAAGGTTCCTTCAACTGCAAAAAACAATGCAAGAGAAAACAGTCAAATACACTCAACTGCAGTAATGTTATTATAGCTTGTTATTTTTATTGCCAGTGGGGTGGGACTAAGTCCCTTGTACTGCGGCCACTTCTGGCCTACTGTACCAGCCCCAGATGATAGGTGAGGGTGATTGTGGAGCAATTGGTGGAATGAAGATTGGTAGGAGAAACCGATGTACTCGGAGAAAACCTGCCCCAGTAACACTTTGTCCACCACAAATCCCACTTGACCAGACCCGGGATCGAACCCGGACCGCAGCGGTGGGACAGCGACTAACCGCTTGAGCTATGGCGCGGCCACAATTCAACGAAACTATAATACAAAATGTTGAACTAGTCGTTTCACAGTCGCTCCTTCGTATTAACAACTGTCATTGTACTGTAGAGCTGTCGAACTCTCACTGCTGTCTTCCACTGTCTTCTGTCTTCACAATCCACCCCCTTACTCCTACTCACACACCAATGGCCGCCCCATAGCTCAAGCGGTTAGTCGCTGGCTTCCCACCTCGGCGGCCCGGGTCACAATCCCGGCTCTGGTCAAGTGGGATTTGTGGTAGACAAAGTGGCGCGGGAGCGGGTTTTCTCCGAGTACTTCGGTTTCCCCTGCCAATCTTCATTCCACCAATTGCTCCACAATCACCCTCTCCTATCATCTGGGGCTGGTAAAATAGGCCAGAAGTGGCCGCAGTACAAGGGACTTTTACCGGTTCTCACGGTCTCTTCGCTTGCAGATTTCTTATATTTTTTCTTCTACCCTGAAGATGGAGGCGATACGTTCCTCCGAAACGTCGGTTAACACCACATATACACGGTGCCAAATCCCAGAAGACTGCTTTCTTCATAGTCACCGCCGTGAAAGCCTCAAATCTTACA